TAATTAAATGATTAAAAAATATTTTTTTAATTCAAGTACAAAAAAAAAAATTTTTTTATTAATTAATTTATTAAATTTATTTAAATATATACATTTTTAGTTTTAAATTTATAATATATGTTTATTTTTAGTTTACAAACTTTATAAATAGATTTGACAAATTAACTAATTAAATGATTAAAAAATATTTTTTTAATTCAAGAACAAAAAAAAAAGTATACAAAATAATTTATAAACTAAATATGTTTAAAATAATTAAAAGTTTGAGAACAAAAATTGATATCTAACCTAATAATAATTAATTAATTTTACAAACCATACAAAAAAAAAAAATCCACTAATAGTAAATGGTAGAAGGTTTTTTTTTATAAATATTGGTTACCTTTTTACAAAAAAATTGACAATCTAACCTAGTAATAACTAATTAATTTCACAAACCATACAAAAAACAAAATCCACTAGCAGTAAATGGTAATAGTTTTTTTATAAATATTGCTTACCTTTTTACAGAAAAACTATTAAATTTAAGGACATGGATACAAATAAAGCAAACACTAACCATTACAATAACTTGATCTCAAATTTGATGAAAGTGGATTATTAAGATAAGAGATATTTATGCCATGGCCCATATACATAGTAAAACAGAACAAGAACTCTGCCTGGGAGCGTGCTTTGACCCTAGCTTGAAGCAATTAACTTCCTTCTCCATGGCAATTGGCAAACATCCAACTAAAGAAAGAAACAAAAAAAACCATGACAAGATCATCAGCGAGCTAGAGAAAGAAAGTGGACGAGAAAGGAAAAGAGTGGGGAACGGGAGAGAATTTCAGAACAATTAAGGATGGCAAACACATTGAAAGCAAAGAAAATGCATACTGAAATGTAAATGACAGAGAAAAGACATTTTGTAATATATCTAGCACTAACTCAAACAGAGAAGATGGTATATCATTGAGTTGCTGAATTAGAATATGTTTCAGTTGATTTCCAGAAGAAAAAAAAAAAAAAAGAGGGAACATGTTTTAGTTGATTGGTTGGTTAGAGAAGTTGTTCTGACTTTGTTGCATGATTCATCAGTAGATTGTAGAAAAATAGTACATAATAATGTCATTGTTTACATCTCTTTGCCTACCATTAGCTGCACGAATATTTCAATTGACAATTTTTTTTTTTTACACTAACCAGAAAAAAATCTGGAAAAAACCAACATATGCTAGGGTTTTTACTTTTAACCCACAACTTCAAGGTTTTAGTCACTAAATAGTAGATTCTTAACTAGTTAATCTAAAACTTTATTGGTGATAAAAATTATTAAATGTAAAGAAAGAATCTTCAGTATACAAAATTAGTTAGAAACATATAAAAATATATAAGATTAGTGAGTATTAATTTGTATTATAAAAATTAGACAAAAAATATCTTTAATTTTCATAATTTTAATAAAATATCATAAAAAAAGATTAAAATAATTTTATTCATACTTTAAAAATCATGATACTTTAGTTTTTTTGATAAAATTTAATTAAATGACATAATTTTAAGTATTTTATCTAATTTTTTATAATACAAATTAATACATACTTTTTTAAAAATATATTGTAGATATAACACCAAAGAATCATTTTTCAACATTTCAAGTTTGTTTGTTTAATTCAACAAAGATTACTGATGTCTATTTTGATGGGAATTATTTTTTTTATGAAATGCAAAATCTCATAAAACCAAAATGTACTAGTAAATTGATATATATATATATATATTTATCACTCAAGTATGCATATGGGTGCACTTAAACCTTTAAGTCCAATGACATCAAATTACGTATAACTGCATTCCTCCACCACCATTAGTACAGATTCGAATGTACTTCTTACAAGTTTGTTCAAAAAAACAAAAAAAGTATGCACATGGGTAAACGTGTCATTGGGGGTACACTTGAGTGGGATCCATGGACTGAAAACGCTGTCGTCGTCCATTATTGCGGACCGAGTCAACAATGGCCCCTTTACCTTATCGCGGATACTGCAATGGGCCCATGCCTACTATGGGCAGCCCACCCTGAATTAAAGGGTTTAATTACCCAAAACAATTATTTGGAGGCTTGATTGATAAAAGGTTGAAAGTATGAGGGCTATAAAAAGGTGTATAAATATCGTGTCATTGAAATAAATAAATGTATAATTACACTATCATTTTTTTTGTTAGAAAAAATTTATTTAAAACGTCCTTGTATTAGGAAATTAAGTAGGCTTAAGTATTGGAAAACGACCCCAACTTTTACCAAATTCTCAATTGAGGTCCTCAACATTTATTATGCTCAATCAAGGTCTCAAACTCATACAAACTCTCAAATAAAGACCCAATTGGATGGAATCCTAACCATCCATTAAGTCTAACATGACGCTGGTTATACTCTGTTACACCCCTTAATATGTGGCATGCCAACTAGACCCATAATGCTGAACGTAAAAAACTTGTTCAATGTGGCATTTTATGGCAGATCTTACTCTCCACAAACAAGGTGGGTCTCACAAGACTCCTATTCCCACTATCTCCTTTTTCCATCTTTGATTATTTTATACTTATTTAATATAAAAACCTTTTGCCTATAACTAGGTCAATGGAAAACGACTTTTGAAAATTTCAAAAAGACAATTTGAGGCTTTTCCTGTTTGGTGGGATCTTTTAAACAACTTTTCTTTATAATTCTGTGTGGATTCAACAGCATACAGGTACGATTATGTGGTTTTATTTGAGTTGTTGAATGATTTTAATATTTTTATTAATTCTTAAATTTATTTTTTGATTTAAACTTTTTGTCTCAATTGCAAATGATTTCTTTAACTTAGTTCGGTCAATTTATTTAATTTATCACTTTTTTATTCTTAATCACTTATATTTTTTATTGTGTCTCATTAGATTTGGGATGTTGGTAGTGTTTCTGTCTTTAATCAACTTTTTTTCTCAATTATTTTTACATCTTGTTGGAATGTTTATATATGTGTTTCCACTTATTTTTACAGCATGAGTGACAAAAATTGACCTTATTCCATGGAGGAAATTTCGTCCAAGTTCCCAATTTGGAGTATGTTGGTGGGGATAAATATGTCCTTGAAAATATTGATGAAGACAAGTTAAACTATTTTGAGATTTAGGACATTGTAAAGGAGGATATGAAACTAGAATTTGCAAAATTATATTATAGAATTCCTGAAGTTGATTTAGAGCATGGATTAGTAGAAATTAAATCGGATGGTGATGCATTACAGATTGCATGGCACTTAATTGAACATGGCTCTGTACACATTTATGTTCACAATGGACTTGGGCACGTTCTATTTAATGCAGCTAATGTTATTAATGAGGTTAATGAAGATGTTGATTTGGAGCAATTAAGTTCTGATAAAGAAGAGCTAGTTAATGCATTAATTGATGTGCATTTGATGAATGAAGAGTTGGACCACGTTGGACTTGAATATAGGAATGCAAGTGGCATCATTAATGGTGGTGTTTGTGCAGATATTGATCAAAGAACTCGAGATGGGTTTTATGTTGAGATAGATGTCTTGAGTGATAGAGATGATGAAGAGCTAATTAGTGCATATGGGAATCAGGCTTAGTCTTGGAAGCAAACACATGCTCTTGATCCTGTAGATGGTATAGAAGTTCCAATGACCCTTGACAAAGGTAAGCAAAAGGTGGATCAAGAAACTTGCTAACTAGGAGGTTATGATCAATACACTTCATCTGATTCGGGGACTTTTATAGTGAGTTTTAAAGGGGAAAGGGATTCAGATTATATTGATAGTGATGATCCAAGGGAATATGTCTCAAATTTAGAGCTTGAATTATTTGAAACTGATGACGCTATTAGAGAGAAAATAGTAGGTCCAGTTTATGATCCCAGCTGTAAAATTCCACATTTTGAACTTGGGATAAAATTTGAAAACCACTTACAGTTTAAGAATGCTTTATTCCACTATTCTACATACAAAGGCTTTGCACCAAAATGGTTGAGGAATGCTCCTGACAAGCAAAGAGTGATATGTAAGGCTCCAAATTGTCCATGGTATATATCTACGGCTCTTCAAAAAAGGGATGGTAGCTTCAAAGTTGTTGCACTTGTTAAAGAGCATATTTGTATCAAGGATAACAAGAACCCTATGGTAACTGCCAAACAACTTGCAAAGCATCACAACCAAAGAATTAAAGCTGTACCAGGTATTAGAATACGTGAACTAATTGATTTCACAAGAATTGAACTCAATGCATTGATGAAGAAAGATAAAATGGCAAGAGCAAGAAGAGTGGTTCATCAAGAATTGGAAGGTAATTACAAGGATGAGTTCAAGGTGTTGAGAAGGTGGGCAAAATTGTTGCTAGAAAGCAATCCAAGCACTTTTATTCATTTTGAATAAGTTAAAGACCCAACTAACCCCATACCAGATTTTAGCAGAATGTATGTCTTTATTTCAGCTTTAAAACATGGATGGTTGGCTGGTTGTAGGCCAATGATAAGTATTGATGGTTGCTTCCTCAAGGGCATTTGCCAGCGCATTTTATTGTCAGCTATAGGAAGAGATGGAAATGAGTAGATGTACCCTATAGCATGGGCAGTAGTGGAGTTTGAAAATAAGGATTCTTGGATATGGTTTCTAAGGCACTTGAAAGTTGATATCAATATGGTGGATGGATTTGGATTTACAATTATATCTGATCAGCATGTTGTAAGTATATTTACATAGCAATTATTTTAATTATAGTTTTTCTATAAATAATATGATATGGTTTTTATGGATTGAAAATTAAGTTGTTTCTTTCTTTATATCTCACCAAAATATTGAGTATACTTTACACAGTTTTTTATTTTTCTTATTTATGCTTCCAGATTCTCTTGTAAACATAATTTGTATACAAAATTTTTTTTATCGAAGTGTATTTATGTAGCAAGTGTATTTATCTGTTATTATATGTTTTATAGGGCATTTTAGCAGCAGTACATTCAAATTTGCCTAAAGCAGAGCATAGATATTGTGCTAGGCATATATATGCAATTGGGGCAAAAGATAATAATAGTAGAGTTGATGAATGAAGCAGCACTTTTGGGTTACAGCTAGGTCTACTTATAAAGAGGATTTCAATGATAACATGGGCCACATGAAGGGTTTGACACAAGTAGGACATGATGCACTTACAAGCATAGAACCAAAGAGGTGGTGCAAGGCTTTCTTTATGGCTCATTCTAGGTGTGACATCATTGATAACAACCTCACAGAGACATTCAATGCTTAGATTCTTGATGCAAGATGCAAGGCTATTTGTAGCATGAATGACGAGTTAGTAGAAAAATTGATGGTAAGGCATGGTGAGAAAAAGGCATATGGTAGAAAGTGGCCTACAGACATTGCTCCGAGAGCATACAAAAAATTGTAGAAAAATGTTGACATTTCAACTTATTGCCATCCATGTCCTAATGGAGAAACATCATACAAGGTGAGACATAATCTAGAATATTTTGCTGTTGACTTTGTAGATTCAAGTTGCACTTGTCAAGCATGGCAATTGTCTAGGATCCCTTGCCCACATGCATGTGCTTCCTTGATTGCTCAAAGTTAAAATGTAGAGGACTATGTCTCTCATTACTACAAAAGGGACACATATATGGAAGCATATAAGGAACCAATATATCCTTCACAAGGTGGCATGAAAATATGGTCACAAGTTGGGTGTGCCCCAATGAATCCACCTCCATTTAGGAAGCAAGCTGGTATACCTAAGAAAAAACGAACAAGACATAAAGATAAGCCTAAGAAGGTTAGCAAGCACAAGACAACAATGTTGAGGCTTCCTAAGAAGGGTTCTAAGTGCACTTGCACAATTTGTGGAATTCAAGGACACAACAAAGTAGGTTGTCCAAAAAAGAATTTGGTTATTGAACCAACCACTCAAGTAGAGCCTTAAAACCCCAAAATTTTGATTTTAAAAGTGTAAAGTAAATTTCTAATTTAATATCATGAGGTTTTTTTGCAGCCAGCACTTAATATTGAGGAAACAAATGCATTGGGGAAGGAAAAAGGCAAGGGAAGAACCAAAAAGAAGGAAAAAACAACAACAGACAAAGTTGGAGCAAAGAAAAATCGCAAAGGAAAGGTACCTTGTGAATAAATACTGTTTTTTTTTTTTTGTCTAATGCTATATTATTATAAAGTCTAACACTATATTTTATTTTTCATTTATAAGGTTGATGTTGGAGGAGAATCTGGTTATAACACTAAGGAAAAAAATTCACATTATAGAAGGAAAAGGCTAGTTGGTTATGGTATTTCAACCAACCAATTTAAAGGGGATATAATTTTGAATGTAAGGGCATATTTGTTATATATTTGTGTTCAATGTTTTTTAGGATTTAAATTAATCGTTTGATTTATGATATTATTTGGTTTCATTGTATGCTTGGAACAGCCTAGAACTCATTTTAAAATACTTATAACAAGTGGAAGCCAAAGAGAAAGAAGAGGACCACAGCAAGGGTTTAGGGAGATTAGACCAAGGTCTGAAGTTGGAGAAAGTTCTAAGTAAGGAAGCCAAAGAAAAGGCAAAGGAAATAATACCTCTAAGAAACAGAATTAAAGCTTTTGGTTGGCTTAAATGTGTTTTTAAAAGGCTTTTTTTGTTTATGTGAAGTTAAGTTATGGCAAGAAACTAGACTTTAGTTTATGTGTACCAAAACTTGATTTTCGGCACCTTCAGAGCATCTTCTATCTAGTTTGGAGTTTGTCTTGGATAGACAAAGCAACTTGGTTTTGTCTAATTTGGGCATTTAAATGGAAATGAAAATGTTCTATGTTCCTTTTAGTTGAGCTTTACCATAAAAATTATGTTAGTTGAAGTTAGGAGTATGTCTGGTCTGGAGTTTTCTCTTCTTTTCTGTTTAAAGTTACAATTCCATTATATTTAAGGTTTCTTTTGCCCTATTTT